TGTTTGTTTTTTCTGGATCTCCATATTCCAGTCAGTGAACGGAGAGTTTGCACAGCTTAATTGCTTATGTACTTCGCATTCATATTATTAAATCAGTAGAAGGCATGTCTTGATCTGTAAAAGAGTGCCTATGTAAAGCAGAGTGTGAGAAGGTGATGTAAGAATGGCCATGTCCTTCCTTGGACACATTACCAGCAGTTGTTTTGGGCTTTCATGTTTATTAATAATATGCCTCATGGTAAACTCCATACAGCATCAATTGGTTTTTTAAATTGAAAAGTACTCTTTACATTTGGAGTTTTTCTTGAGGTACTAATTTTAAAAAATGTCTTTATGGTTTCTAGAGACTGATCTACGTCGTTGTGTATGGTACTTTCTGTGCCTTCCGTCCTATTGGCAAACTTAACATATCCGAAAAGCAGTTTCTCTGTGTGTGTGTGTGACACGCCTACACGGAGTAGGTCTAGTTTTTTCCAGCTATGGTCTAGGAAGTTTATGTTCTTTCCATCCTTGTCAGTGAAATTTCATATTATATCAACAAAAATTGTTCCTTTTGTTACTGAGCAAGCTTTATTTTGTCAGCTATGGGACATAAACATGGACTCTGGTCCAGTTTCAACATTCCAGGTTCATGAATATTTAAGACCAAAGGTGAATTACCCTCCCCATCAAAGTGTTATGTCAACTTGGTTATCCTTTTACAGGTCGAGCTGATAAGTAATGCATTTTCTATTTTGTGCAGCTTTGTGACTTATACGAAAATGATTCCATCTTTGATAAATTCGAGTGTTGCCTTAGTGGTGATGGTATGCGAGTAGCAACTGGATCTTACAGGTCTGTGGAATTTTTCAGCTTTGTTTTACATATCAATTCTCCACCTCTTCTTCATTTTTTAAACAAATGATTACTATCATATCAGCAATCTTTTCCGCGTGTTTGGTTGTCCTCCGGGGAGCACTGAAGCAACTACCCTGGAAGCAAGCAAAAACCCTATGAGGTACCTAAGTCACAATATATTTGGCAACACATTTGATTTTGTGTGGTAACATGCCTTGGTTTCTGATGACGTTGATTGTGCTCCTCCAGAAGGCAAGTCCAGACTCCTTCAAGGCCTTCCAGGTCCCTGAGCAGCAGTATAACACGTGTTGTCCGGAGAGGTCTGCATTTTCACACACATATATTATATGCATGTATTTTAGTTTGTGTTATGCAAGTTATTTTTGATGCATGAATTTTTCGCCCACTGCTCTGAGTTATACGTCATATTTTATGTACACATTACAGGAGCAGATAGTGCAGGTGTTGATGCAAATGGAAACTCATTTGATTTCACAACAAAACTGCTTCATCTGGCATGGCATCCAACTGAAAATTCCGTAGCCTGTGCTGCTGCAAACAGCTTGTATATGTATTACGCATAAGTCATAACAGGAGAGATGTAGTTTTCTTGGTTAGCATTTTTGGGTTGCTTTTCGAGAAAGGTCTCTCTCGCAGCAACTTGAGGTTCTACCATTTCTCACTTCCAGGTGCCTTGCAAAGGTGTAGTACATGCTTTTGATGTCAAGGTCCGGATGTCGCTGAAAGGATCACCAACAGAGCGACGTAGTCTTTTTGAGTAGACGGATGGCCTGGGATTCTCGCTCCCTTATTCCCGTTTCTGCTTCACCCTTTTCTCTAAATCTCCTATTTTTCTGGGTTGAAGTTGGAAAGAATGTTATTCTCCTACAAGCAAAACTGTTGGATGTGCAAAATTGCCACTAGTTCTAAGGTAAATGTAGTTTTATCCGAATCTTGCTGAGAAGGAGCTACTGCTAACTGGCAGGATGTTACACCTTTTTCCTTGGATAGCATTATTTTTTGTAGGATAACTTAGTGTGCTTTTTGTTATAGATTATTAACTGAAGTAAAAAAATTTCCCTACTGTAAAAGAAATTCAAGAGCAACTGCATTTGTTTACCTGTATTTTTTAACCTTGGTAAAGTGAAGTTGGAACTGCTAAACTTCGGTCACTTCAGAATCTGTGTTTTAACAGTTTCATTGATAGAGTTTCTAGTTTTACTTTGCTTCTGGAGCCATGTAATGGAATCAACTTGGAAAGATTTTCTGAGATGGGAAGAAACCTTTGTAATATTGTTCATCTTTAGAGTGTGATCAGTTTCTTGTCCCATTTGACTTCGGTGTATCAAAACCTCATCAGAAAAATTGCATATTTGGAGTAAGTTATGGTCCAAGTTGCGGTTATACTACCAAACATGACTATCAAAACTCACTTCATAATGAATTGTGTCTTGAAATAAACTTTATGCCAAGATAACGTTCAACACCTTGTAGCCAAACTATGGGTTGTAAAGAACGTAGATCGGTAAACATGTTTCAATACCTATAGCCAAACTATTTTGATGAAAATATGACAATAGCAATTTCTACGCTGTTTCTGAATACTAATTTACAAATGAAAAATTGATTCTATTAGTCTAAAGGTAATCAAATCAATCGTCTATAAGTAAAACATACTCCATTTAATAAACGGGAAAGGTCCAAATATACCCATGTACTATGAGAAAAGGTTCAAATATACCCCTCGTTATACTTTGAGTCCAAATATATCCCTATAGTTATACTATTGCTTCAAAATATACCCCTCTACCATTAAGTTTGGCCAAGATGGACATTCAATCCTATATGGCACTAATATTTGATGAGATGGACGCCATGTGGCATGCCACCTCAGCACCCCTACCCATTTTATCCCTCCCTTCTATTTTTTTTCACCACTAAAATTCTCTTCCGATTCCCTCCATCACCATTGTCACCATTACCGCCACCATGAACAATATTGAATTTATACAAAGCTACCCATCAATCTCAAAATCCTCATCTGGAAGTCACTCATCAATCTCACGATCCTCATCTGGAAGTCTACCAGCAACGTAACATTCCAAGTTCGGCTATATACCCACCAGAAATACGAGCAGTGCAAATGACAGAAATCATTTTAAAGAGGAAATATTGGTTCTAGAAAAGCAAAGAATCTTGCAAATGCTATTTAAAAAAAGAAAAAAAAAACAAATGGCGGCCTCGGTGACCATGAATATAGCTGTTTGCCCTTCTCTCTGACTAATCAGTTGATGTAGATTGTCTTACTCTAGTGCTTACATAATTTTTTGACCATTTATTTGCAGAACATAAGAACAATCGGTAAGTATATCAAAACCTTAGATTTCTGGAGGATATCCATGATTTGATTTGAGTTATTTTTGGTGTAAAGAAGTTTTACATTAAGATTTACTACCACCACCACCACCACGAGCTCCATACTCTTCTAAGAGCAAACATATTAGGAATATTACCAATGGTAGCGGTAATGGTAGCAATGATGGTGGAAATCAAGGGAATTTTAGGGGTGAAAACAAAATACAAGGGAGGGGTAACGTTGGTTAGGGGTGCTGAGGTGGCATGTCACGTAGTACCAACCTAATCAAATGTTAGTGCCACATAGGATTGGATGTCCACCTTGGCCAAACTTAACGGAAGAGGGGTATATTTGAACCAATAGTATAACGACATGGGTATATTTGGACTCAAGTATAACGAGTGGTATATTTAAATTTTTTCTCATAGTACAGGGGTATATTTGGACCTTTTCCGTTTAATAAATTGGGATTATGTCAATATCCCTTGAAGATCTAAAATTGCTTTATTCGAGATTTACTTACGAAGAGACACCTATAATTCCTTGATACGTATCACCGGTCCATAATTAGTGGCTTTTTAGCATTTGGCACACCATTTAAGAAAATACAACTCCTAGAGAAAAAAAATGTATTTATTAAATACCTTTAAATAATTGTTACCTTGACATTTGACACATTTGGAAATGTAAGGGTAAATTTTGGAAAAATAAAATTAATTTTTTCTTGATTATGTAAATGGATACTTATTTTGGACCAAAATAAAAAGGCCAAAAGGTCACTTATTATGGGCCGGAGGAAGTAATTTTGAATCGTGAAAATAGCACGGGCGCCAGCGTTTGCAAAGTCATTGAAAAATAGCAACTATGTTGCTACAACATGGAAAATTCTAGCATAATGTACTGGAGATTCGTACACCTGTGTATAAACTTCTAGCATATTATGTTGGAACTCCAGCACACGGAAAGTTCTAGCATAATATACTGAAGGTTGGAGCACCTATGTATTAACTTCCAGTATATTATGCTGGAACTCCAGTATATTACGATATGGAAGTTCACATGTAAAAAATTCGAACTCCAGTATATTATACTGGAATATTTTTCGGATTTTGAACAATGTTTTCATTCAGGTTTATCTTTACATGATAAATGGCTAAATTTCGATTACTTTTAAAACTATGGCTATTTTTCAATTATCGCTTGTAAATCTGGCTATTTTTGAATCCCTAGTTTGAGCCCTTTAGATTTGAATGTCGATCTTAGTTATCTGAAATCGAGAGTTATTAACTTTAATATCAGGTAATTTCCTTTCGTGGGTTCAATTCGTTGAAACACACTAAAAAAGATTTTTTTAACGGATTATTTTTTGCAAATAGGTATGAAAAAATAACATGGAAGAGGAGAAGTTGTTTACTATATTTACACATTGATGTAGCAACCCTACTATATTTACGTCAATGTATAAATATAGTAAACTCTATTCCGCTTCCATACAATTCTATTTTATTTTTATTTTTTATATCAAAACCTCCTCATCATCTACCACAAACCAAAATGGAAATTGCATGTATAAATACCTACAATCTCCACTCTTCCTTGTCAAAAACAGTTCCAATCTAGCTTTAAAAAGCTTTTCTGAATGATGAAAACAAACAAGCCTTCATATTTCATGTTAACTCTTGTATTTACTGTACTAATGACAATTTCAAGTACAAGTTTTGTGCATGGATTTAACGTAATTGATAAATGTTGGAGAAGAGATCCAAATTGGAGGAGTCACAGGCAAGAATTAGCTAAATGTTGTGTAGGTTATTCTGGAAAGATGACTAATAATATTGGAGCGGACACGGTACAATATACGGTTACAGATCCTAGTGACGATCCCCTGAACCCTAAACCCGGAACCCTCAGATATGCAATGACACATATCCAAGGAAAGGTTTGGGTAACATTCCAAAGAGACATGACTATTAGGCTCCAAAAACCCCTCTTAGTTAGCAGTTTCACTACCATTGATGGCCGTGGAGTTAAGGTTAACATTGCTCATGCTGCTTGTCTAATGCTTCAAAGGGTATGTACCACTAGACAATTTTATTAACTTCAACTTTATGCACCAAAACAACTTCAGCTCAAATGGGATTAATTAATAACATAGAAAATAAGACATATTAATTACCTTAGCTTCTATATATAACGATTAAAATATACTAATAGTAAAAAAGTTATACTACTAATAGCTAGGTAGCACACACGAACTCGATCACTAGTTCTAAATCCAGGATACGCCTCTGACTACTATACATGCAGTAGCGGAGTCACCTTAGAATGATACCGCTTCATCAAAAAATTACATTGTATTTATGTATATATACCATATGTTGAATCCCTTTAATTTCTTACTTCTTTATATTTTGACGCTAAATTTTTGGCTTCGCCACCGACTACTACATGTATGTAATTAGTTGTCGTGTTATTAATTTTGTTTTTCTAGGTGACAAATGTGATAATTCATGGTCTAAGAATCCACCATTGCAAGGCACAAGCAGCATCAACAGTGTTGGGACCTGATAAGAAAATAGTAAATGTGGGTCCAGTAGATGGAGATGCAATTAGAATGTTAACTTCTTCCAAGATTTGGATTGACCACAATACCCTTTTCGATTGTGAAGATGGTTTAATTGATGTCACTCGTGGTTCTACTGATATTACCATTTCCAATAATTGGTTTCGGACCCAAAATAAGGTTATGTTATTAGGTCATGATGATGGATTTCTTAGAGACAAGAACATGAAGGTTACTGTTGCATTCAATTATTTTGGTCCTAATTGCAACCAAAGAATGCCAAGGTACTCTACAAATTAAATTATTGTTACATTCAAGCTGAATTTTAAGATTTTTTTAGTTTCTTGAAACTACAAGATAAATGACTTTACCATTGAACATGAAGTGGTCCCGGCCATATATGAGTAACATAGGAGACATTTCCATTTTTCCTCCGAAAAAAAAGTTGAAAATTATCTTTCAGTTCATCAAATGAGACGTGAATAACCCGTCCTTCTCTCTTGTAGGGAAGAGGAATGTATGCATTTAATAGGAAAATTACCAACTATGTCCATTTATAAGTAACTCATTACAAAAATTGACCAATTGATAAAATATTACTAATATTAGCCAAATTAGCTATTTGTAGCAAAAAAATATCAAATCTTTGCTTTGTTTTGAGTGGGTGTTATTAGAATAGATTGGGCACAACTTAAGGAGCTTGAATCTCAGTTTTGGAATAATTTGGTGAAGTTTTGAGGTGGTTTGAATTGAAAATTCGAAGTAAAAGCTGAACATGAAAAAAAATGATATGTGTATCACATTGTGTATCATTTATGTATCACATATGTATCATATTTGTATTAATTGTGTATCACATGTATATCCATGTATACCTGTGTGTGTGATACATGTGTAGCAGAAGATTTTTTTGAACTCGATTTAATTACGAATTTTGATACAAAACCAGTCCAAATCACCTCCAATCTTCCTCAAATTTTGTGTATTGACTTATCTATATATTTTCAATGAATTCCAACTATACCCATTGAAAAAGTTTCTTTTTTGTTTAGATTTTTGAAATATTGTATAGATTTTTGTATTTCATCACCTTATTTGCTACCCCGTCCATAAAATTTCCTTTCCGTTCTGTATCTAATGTTGTTAATCACGCTTAAAAATATGGAAGGTGATTTTTGCATGTGATTCTTTGAGAGAAAGAACCCTATTATTTGGTTTTCAATTTTTGTTGGCTAGTTTTGGTAAGTCTATGACTAATGGCTATAGATTGGTAAGTTGAGATTTATTTGGGACATTTATGTAAGTTTCCCTTTATAATACTCCCCTATTTTCTTATTAGTTCTTTTGAAACGATTTAAACATTCATATTTGAAAATAATTAATTATGAACTTCTCATTCACGTCTTAAATCCGTAACGTATACGTGACTAAAAAGCAACTCTACCATTTTATCCCTGGGTCTATACATGAACTTTTTTGTTTTTACTTAATTTTATTTTCGGAATTTCCAATGCATAATTTTGCAGGGTTCGTCATGGATATGCACATGTGGTCAACAATCTATACAAGGGATGGGGAAATTACGCAATAGGGGGAAGCATGAACCCAAGCATTAAGAGCCAAGCCAATTATTTCATTGCACCTAAAGGAGGAAAGAAAGAGGTAAACCTTTTAACATGCAGTTTTCTTCATTCTTGTTAATATTGTCTCCAATTTCTGAGGGATTTGTTATTCAGTGATTCTCTCAAACAATATTGATCATATCTATTTACTTATCATAATTGGGTTTACAACAGAATAAACTAATTAGCAGTGCCGTAGCTATACTATGCTCAAGCGAACATCCTTCGCTCAAAGATAATACTCCACTGTATATATAATAAGTCAAATAATATTTTATATGGTTATATATTACATTTTGAACACTCTTAATGGGTCCTATGTTATCTGCCCATTTTATTTGTCAAAACTAAACAGAGGCCCCTGCATGTGGTCTATTTGTCTCTTAGTTTATACCATTCATCGCTGAAACAATTTATTGACTTATTTAAAGTTTGAACACCCTTGACGGAATTCCTGGCTACGCTAATCCTAATGAGTCCGAATAGAACGAAACGAATATAAAGCAGATTCATTAAATTGACCCTGACTAGTTTAGAAGTTGATTGCTTGATGAAAATGGTGGTGGTACAGATAACATGGAGAAAGCAGGGTGGAGTTGGTGAAGTATCATGGAATTTCCAATCTGTTGAAGATGTATTTGAGAACGGAGCATCTTTCAGCGAATCGGGTTTGGGTCGTGAGTCCGTGAAGCCAAACTATCTGCCAGATCAAGCTTTTCCAGTGGAAGATGGAAAAAATGTCAAGTCCTTGACAAGAAATGCTGGTGCTCTGAAATGTTCCTCTACTTCTACCTGCTGAGTACAAAGCTAATGTCAAGATATTTGGCTTTCTTTTATTTTGTTTCTGTGAAAATGGATATGTTCCATATAAAATCTCTTCTGAGAATTGACAAGGGAATAACGTGGTTTTAGTTATACATAGCAGTATATATGTGTAGGGAATTAACCTCAAAATAGTAATTATACGCAGGTGATGAGCTATGTTGTATGGATTTTATTACCTTGGATCTGTAGTTATTTCGTGCAGATTTTCCAAAACACATAAAAGTTAAAAAAAACTACACATACCAATATTCACACCTGTATTATATGTGTGCCAATATCAGAAGAAACCTTAATCGACCGGGTTTTCACTTGAGCTCATCCCTCATGTATTGCAAGATCCCAATAAGCAATTCTGTTATTCCCTCCCTTCCACTTTGTTCGGCACTATCCCTCCTTATTAGTTCGTTTAATAAAGAATGACACATTTTTGCATTTCTTCAATGACAAGTTCTACAATTACACAAATATTATGACAAATTTTGTTACACGAACTCTCCAAAATATTATTCAACCTGTGTCGGATCCTCCAAATCCTCTGAAAATACACTACTTTTGGAGGATCCGACATGTACCCGATAATAAAACCAAAAGTTTCATACGCCTTATGGTTACACAAATGTTATGGCATATTTATGAACATAAATTTCAAAAGTCTACCTTTCTTAAATTCCGATCCAAGTCAAACTATACCAATCGCTCTTCGCTTCCCATAAAAGGACCTCTCTGCAGCATCAGTTTTGAGCAAGCTATGGCCTTATGAACGAACTGGATAATTGCCAAGCAAAATATTCAACGTAAAATTGCGCAGACTTATGTCTGTCATGATGTTATGAGATTGTAAACCGTAAAACGACGAAAGAATCTAACAAAGTCGGGAGGCCTAGTCGTTCATCCCATATATTGATATACATAAAGACCTAAATATGTAAAGGAAACATCCAAGCTTCACGATTCTGATACTCTGTAACACATGGAAAGAACAAGTTTATATAGGAAAGAACAAACCGAGGAAAATAGGTTAGAATAACAAAAGTAGTAACTAATTCACCTGACAGAAATTCTCAACCTCATATCTAAAGAAAAGGTTTGTCTATTATAATACAAGTTCAGTAACTTGGTAAAAGTTTTACCTATATACATGATACATTTGGATTTAACGGTTAGTACGTCATGCATACTTCCATACATACACCTAACAGTTCCACAAAAATGTGATCATGAACTTAAGCCTCCTTTTGGATTTAGTTCACAATAAGTTTTTGGAAAGCAATTTTGGTGAAAAACAAGAACCAGATGCCAAAAACCAACAATAAATAGCCAGTACCAAAGGACAAAGCCCTTTGGTCAAGACAATAGCCAGTTGTAATAACAGTCTATATTTGCCTAAATCAACCAACCATTCAGGAAGTCCAAAAAAGTCTTCCTGTTCAATTCCAAGGAGGCACAAATGCAACTCAATGCAAAATGTAATAAATTACACTCGAAGTCGAAGTAAAAGTAACAGAATAATCATGTGTGTCGTGACCCATTCTAATACATGAAGGTTCAATATGTGAAACAAACCCAAATGGACGACTTAAATCACATGGGAACAACACGGGCCTTGTACATGCAAATATAAGCCATATGCCAATCACCTGAAACCAAAAACAAAGCACTTTTATCAATAAACTGACGGACAGAAAAACACATTCAGGCACACAAGCAACAAAATATTCCATCTGGTTTACATCTTGATGTTACAAGACAGGATATGCTTGCCAGACTTTGAAAATTTGCCAACGACGTAATACAGAAGTGATTCACTTACCACCTCCTGAAAGTTTAGGGATGTCCTCTTCTCTCTGTGGAATCGGATTGTCATCATCAAATTGAACCCACTTTCCTGTGGTTTACAAAGAGATTTTCAATATATTGTGTCAGATGGTAGTCCAAGAGCAATGATTACTAGAACAAAATCTCTTCCCAGTTAAACTGACCGTTTTCTTGCTTTACCCAGGCAACATAATGCCCAGAGTCAGCACTTCTTCCCTTGTGAGTCAGCACGGCCACCAAATCATATATTCCAGTCAAGTGGTGTTCCTTCTCAGGCAGAACACCTGAAATGGAGTTTACTAATCGGGCATCATTAAAAATAAAATAAAAACTAATCATTGCGACTCCTCATTCATAACAGATTTCCAAAATTGAGCTCTCAGACTAACTTCCCCTTATATATCAGAAACACTAAACTGTTGATAAAATTGATCATTCACAACTACTGCTCCCAATCCAGAACCAGTTAGAGTCCCTTATATAAATCCCCGACATCATTCTGCTCCATCTGGGCCTAGTTCATTCCAATACTCAGACAATTTTCTTTTAAGACAAGTTATGGGGTTATCCAATGCTAGAGGTTCTCTACATTTTCCACATACAAACAAATGTCTAAACAAATTAAAGGACTCCAAGAAAACACCAACTTAATGTATGTGTATCAGCAGAGCTAAACCTTTAGGATCTTTCGTAGTTACATAAATTCAAACGCAAGTTATGGGGTTATCTATGCTAGAGGTTCTCTAAATTTTCTACATACAAACAAATGGCTAAACAAATTAAAATGTAAGTGTATCAGCAGAGCTAAACCTTAAGGATCTTCCATAGTTCTAAAAATTAAAAGGAGCCCCCTTCAAAAGAAACTTGGGAAACGTCCGCCGGTGTCTAGGGACATATAGTAATTTAAAAAGGAATAAATCTGATCCAAGTTACTAATCTTTATGGGATCCCATAATTGTTAATAGAAGGTCAATCGCTCGTAATCAAAGATACTAACAGTGACTTTGTGAAAAGAAGTTTGAATACCCAAAGCAGAACATTGTTATCATAAGAACATTGTTATGGAACCCTAATATTACTGCAGAATTATAACTGGCAATTAACTAACAGAGTTTCCTTTAAAGCATTGAAAAGGATATGTGAGTTGGAAGGTAATTTTATGACAATAACTTCTCTCCCAAATATTACAATTTTAATGCCAGACATTGTTACCAATTAAAATACAGCAGCAGCATATGTTTATGAAGTCATCAAGTTATCAAGAAAAGGAGGTGTTTCTCTACCTTCTTGGGTTGTTTTAGACGCTTCTCCACTTCCACTAGATGATTCCTGCATAAAAAGGAGAAAAGGCAGAAGTTACTTTTAGACATTCTTAATTTCCCACTTCAAACCACCTTGTACAATTCGCCATAGGTGGGCCCGAAAGGTCCCTCTTTATCCCCTTAGGTCACTCCTACATTACAAAGATTAATTCATACCTCAGCCTCAGTCATTTTAACGTCGCCGTCAATTGAACTTGAAGTTTTCTCACTGGTTTTTAAACCAGCCTTCTTACCTTCAGCATCCCTCAAAACCTAGCAGCAAATTTAGAGTCACGTAATTACAGAACAAGAAAGAGAAAGAGGGACCAAAGAGGGTCTGGTCTTTCCTCATTTCTTAAAGACATTGATCAATGGGAAAAAGACAGTACCTGGCGAGGACCTTCCAGTTTCTTGCGAAGGTCTTCCGAACAAAAATCATATACATCCAACGACAGGGGGTAATCCACTTTCTGATGGCATAGACATAGTTTAAGATTACCATTTCTTATATCTTAAAGCAATGAGAGATCCAATACATGCACAAAATATGAAATAGGGTTTTGAAATATTAGCAAACCTATATTACTAAAAAAGCAAGACTTGCTGAGTTTTAATACGAGATGTGACTGTTGTTTGAAGCATAGCATAATTGTAGTTTCCTAGATTATCATTTAAGTTCCTGATATAACTAAAATCCATCACATCACATCTACAACTCCTTGTTGTCACGTCACTACTAGCGGTGGGTGGAAAAGGAAGTGACCATTCTATTTTTGTCCACAATAAGTTTTATATGTGACAGATGGGTGGTCTAGGTTGGATATGGGTGATATTTGAAATGAACCTTAGTTAATTCACCAGAACCCATCCTCTGTTACCTTTCAAGAAAAAATTAGCCAGAACACATCACAGCCAATATCGGCTAAAAATGGTTGTGATCTCTAATCCAATGCATTCTTTTTCTTTCTTTTTTTATTATTCCCATATTCAATGGATTCTTAACCACAAAGATTAACTTACCCCCGAAATCACTACTAGAGAAAATTCTTTAGCTATTTAAAAGTTATAAACAATTGAACCTACGGCTTGATGCATCCCCTACCCAAAAAAGGAGAGACGAGAAGAGAAAAACTACCAAGTATGATACCATTCTTAAATATAGCACTCCCTCCATTTCATTTTATTGTGACCATGTTTGACTACACAGGAAGTTTAATAAGGAAAAAAGAAGACTTTTGAGACTTGTGGTCTTAAACATGCCATAACATTTATATGGTTAAATAAGACTTTTGAAACTTCAGATTTTAAATATGCAGAACGAATGTGTGGCTATAAATGCTTGCCATTAAGCGTAAAATGAGAATATTTATTTCCAAACTTAGAAAGGGGTAATTCTTTTATAAGCAAACTAAAAAGGAAATAATGTCACATAAGCTTAAATAAAAGAAGACAATTTATTTTCGTAATTAAGTTAAAAAAGAACTTATTGTTTTCCTATCAACCATCTAAACAGTAAAGATATGGAAGTGCATCACAACATATGCATACAGAACCATGAGGTCTCAGTCTCAAATTCCAGTGAGACAAAAAATACTAGGTGATTCTTCTATTTTCCTCTATGTTGCTCGGACTCTCCGAAAATGTTGTCGGGTGTGAGTCGGATCCTCCAAAAATAGTGTATTTTTGGAGGATCCGACACGGGTGCGGCATCATTTTGGAGAGTCCGCGCAACATAGATTTTCCTAAGCCTTGATGGACAAAGTTACTTGTGTTTGTGCTGGTGGGAAGCAGGAGGTACTAAATAGAATAATCGAGGTGCGCACAAGCTAGTCGGGAAGCATCATTTAAAAAAAGAAATACATATACAGAAAGGTCATATCAGATGGAGAGGAGCGCGGAACCTCACAAGCCTACTTTCTTTTTCCTCTTTTCACTTCAGTTTTGGAATTAGGTGAGGACCCCCCTGGGTTACCCATGTTCAACACAAAGATATCTGAAACACCCAGTACAACTACTTTATAGATCCCAGAACTTATGGCAATGGGTGGGCTATTATCCCCGAATGGCCGAATCTAGGAAGAAGCTTTTCAGATATTTTTGATTGTTAAGAAGATCTTGTATCAACACAAAAGGGGGGGAAAAGAGCATATCAGCTTCTCACCAGAACTCTTTTTCAAAAAAAAAGTTATGTACATGCTATCTCACTAGAATAGCAAAGTATTAATATCACATCCTTCTCACTTCTAGTAGAAGGAATCTAGTCATTGGAGCATAAGAACTCCTCTGTGTAATTATGCCCAAGTTACACCTACTCCAAGATCAAAACAGAAACTTAAGAGAAGTTTCAGTTAATTTTTTATTGGGAAGGGATTATAGACCAAGACTCCTACACCGACACCATCACAAACTAGTCTAACAAGACTCCTACACCGACACCATCACAAACTAGTCTAAAGTTAAAATATACAGTTCAGAATTTGACAATCGAGAGAGTAGGCGAGACTTTAGAGCACCTAAACATGACAGAACTACTCATCCTCACAAAACAAAGTAAAACAGTGAACTCCCTTTCTCCATCCCCCTTTCTCGGTTCAGGACATGGTAACCTGATCCTTTTTCCCTCTTCCGACACATTTTCAAGGAGGACCAACTATTTGATCAATGTGAAAAGGAAGACGAGCAAGTCAACATACCCGCAAAATCTTTGCCTTTTGATTTGATTCCCTTTTCCAGAAAAACCGGACGAACTGAATGGTCAAGTATCTATTCATCAAATGAAAAAGAAATAGTAAAAATAGAAGAAGATTTTGACATAGACCAATCAATAATCAGCACAAAATGGTAAAGAAACTATCCAGAAAAGTGTGAGAATTAAAAGCCCCCCAACCCCCCCCCCCCCCCCCCCAAAGAAAGGAGAATGAGAAAGAAGTGACGCCAAAAATGAGGTGAACTACTTCAACACATCAAAAGACACTTTTGTTATGTGAAAGACGTGGATTCAGATAGTCTATATGCACTTATGCAGAAGCTACGGATCATACATATGTCGCTACATCGCATGGAATTTAATCGAGCCAGTTAATACCTTGGCAAGCCATTGATTCGGGAGTCTTTCACATAAACTGCACTCCGTCCAAGTGACGGAGACGCCTTCTCCAGTTCTGATTTCAGACCCTGTCCAGAAAAAGCAATGGCCATATGAGTGCATTTAAATTATTTTGAGGGGATAAATACCAGATTTCCAGTATAAACATCATCAACGATTTTGCACAAAATCTCCAAATCTTTTCCCACCAAATGCATTATGAGTCGGCTCCAATGGCTCAGCCTACCTCTGATGTGAAACTATTGCATGAACCTCAACATGCGGACCCCACATTTGGAGATCATGGCATGAAAAAATTCTAAAGCTAAAGAACCCCCCCCCCCCCCCAAAATGTGCAGCCCGAGAGGCATCTTATATAAGAGTTTCTCCATCCAACCAACCATTTCAGGACTAACTGTTAGTTATCCTCAAAGGTTACAGCTACCAAAGGAATTTCTATGAATTAGATACGTCATTTTTCACTTTGGGACTGTCCTCTTAATCAAATTGGATGATTACTGGATTGGCACAACTGAAAAACTTGAGACAGAACTTAGCAGTAATATGAAACACTTGGGAGAAAACAAGACTAAAGTTAGAAGTTGGGACATACAAGGAGGAAAAGAACCGAACTTACACGTTTCAAACCCTCGTGCAAATGGTTCACTTCCTGTGAAATGTGGCATTTAAGGGAATATACAGTTTCTGTTTCTGTGCTTTCTTCACCACTTTCAGCACAATGAATCCTGGTCCATATCAGTGCCATGAGAATAAGGGGCAGAGTTAAGTCATTTTTCTTCAGTATCTAGCAGTTAATATCAGATATGGAACATAGGCACAGAGTGGACTCTAGCACAACACCATAATCCAGTCAGAACAGTATAGGTCAAGTCAGATATGAATGATAAACAGCTTCCCACACTATCGAAAATTAAATTTTGTGTATCAGTAGATGAGTTTGAGCACATGAGAACTCTGGGATGGGCATTGGGATCTTCCCAACCTCACTGCAGTAGGTCAGGTCCTAGACAAGAAATATTAGCCCAGAGGTCTAGGCTACAGCAGAAAAGCATAGCCTGTTGAAAATACTCTAGAATGGCATAAACCGGCCAGACCTTTCATTAGTAGTAATACAATACAAAGGTACACACTAGTAGCGCTATAGTACACTTAACTAACAGTAGGAGAAACTAAAAGAAGTTAACATAAACATGATGTTTAGCTTCAACTTTCAAAACAACTTCAAAGCAACTTCAGTAATTCATCTCTTATTGTCAACTAGATGATTCACAATATGACAGAGTAAAAGTTGAGGATGTTGATTCTCATCAGGTTGCCGAGAAGATACTCAAAGTCAGAACAGGGAACACATCCTACATCCTAGGACCACTAGCTGCATTCCTTCCTATCTCAATACATATGCAACAGTAAGTTCACATGCCTCTTATGATATTTAGGTGCAGAACAAATCCATGCAAAGTGGAAAAGGTAACAGAATAACTGGAAGGTAAACAACATTTAACTGCAGAAATACCTGTTGTCAAACTCAATACCGAAGAGAGCCTTCACAATATCCGGACTTTCACTGCAAGTACCGAGATAAAGAGCAGTCACAAATCATGACTAACAATGTATATATAGGAGAGTTTTCCTTCACATTTTTACAAATAGGGACCATATGTCCAAACTGAAACAAAGAAAACAACTAGCGAAACAAAACATGGAAATTATTTAGAAAAGGGACTTTCATCTGCAAGAAATATCCAGAGAGGAGATGTAGTACCTAGAGTTCGGTGATTTAAGAGACTGAGAAAGGGTGTAAAGTAGTTGCGTCCAACATTCTTCAGCATCCTGTGATTATCCAGAACGTGTCAGTAGGACCTCTATATAGCAATTGCAATAATGGTACGCTATTTTTTTATAACAAGGAAGCATTGTGGTAGCTTAGGTAATGTTGGAACCTGTTGCATGAAAGCTCCATTGCTCTGCTGGCCAAATTGAGGATATTTCTTCCGCAAAACCTGTGAACATAAACCTAATCAAATGTTGATGCCAGAGTAGCTTATGTGAGGAAAACACTAAAAAGACAAACATATCAACATAGGCTACATTTATAGTTCTCATATAAATCCAAGTAACCTTGGGCGAGAATGATAATGCACAAAGTTTTGACCATGTAGACAACAGACCCAAGCTTAAGTCATTCTATTCGCATCCTATACAAAGTACTTCATCCTTGCTCTCTAAGAGCATATCCATTTGCACACAAAAGTCATGACAAAATATATCGAGTTCAGTGTTCAACGCTAAACGAGTATATTTTGAAGTCTGCCAACAGGAATTTATTGGCAAACACTGTCTCCTACTCAGCATACATATTCTCCTTCAAAGGTGCAGTAACTTTGTTCGAAATCCAAACACATTTTCTAAGAAAACAAAGTCATGAATACTAAGTCATAACCAAAGAAAATATTAGGAGTAGAATAAAGACAAATAAAGTACCGTCCAGAATTGCATTGGTGCCACTGGTTTGACATTTTTATCCAGGTCATTAAACAGATCTCTTGTTGCAACTGTCAAGAGATGAGATGAGTGGTCCAAATCATTGCTTCTACCAAGCTGGTTATACCTAACAGGAAGAATAAATAAACTCAAAATCTCAGGAACACAAAAAGAAATGTACCTAACGGCGTTGCTTTTGGAACTCCTACGCTTGGTATTTAACAGGAGCCATTTTGATCTTTTTTCTTATAATGTTCGGGAAAGATCCACAGTTTCGGAATCCAAATTGATTCAAAGTGGATTACATTTTGGATTGCTTTCATCCAAAGGAGCACATGCCGTGAAACGAGTCGACTTTATGTAAGGTAGGATAAATAGGAATTAAAACAGGATAATTTATGTCTCCTCTACTAATTACTGTTTTCTCCGCTTTGTCTCCGTGAATACATACTATCTAGGTGTATACAACGCGACACATTATATAAGTTAAATTATGATTAATAGATTTGACAAATATATACAGTAAAATCAGAATTATCAATTTTAGCGAAAACAGGAATTACGAATTAGGTGCAAATAGATCGAATTGCCTAACCAAAAAAGTGCAATGCAATCAAAATAGACCTAAATATTTTCAGAACTAGACTTAAAAGCAACCATATTGAAATTGATCAAGTTTTGGGAAATCAAGGCTAAAGCAAAAGGACCAAAAAAAAAAAGCCTAAACCAAAAGACTCCCAAAAATGAAGGAAAGGATGAAAGAAGCAAATGCTCACTCTGTTAGAGCAGACTTCAGTTCCGGAACTGAATGCAAGCACTGTACTGTGGAGTTCATGTAGCATGTATTTCCGAGATTAAATAATCCAGCAGAATGACCCTGGAGGAAACAAAATTATAAAAAATTCCATCACCCATTTACTGATAAAAAGTACAAAACTAAGCCTTGCCATTATAAGAGTTAGCGGTTCTTTTAGATAGGACTCTAAAACAACATAGTAATCCGATTCACAATGTGTAAAAAGGCAGCCCGGTGCACTAAGCTCCCGCTATGTGCGGGGTCCGGGGAAGGGCTGATTCACAATGTGTAAATGAAGAAATTACGCATTCAACAAGCGCTTGGAATCCACAAAATCGCTTGTGCCAGCGGAACAAGAAACGCATTCGGCAAGCGCTTGGCATCCACAAAATCACTTGTGCCAGTGGAAAAAGAATAGAGAATTATATATTAAAGCTTATTTGCATGTAGAAGTTTTGAGAAAAATGAACAAAGCAAGTGCTGTAAAATTACCAATAAATCTACTAGGGACCCAGTGCTGGTATAAGTACAGCATATGAGACAAGACTAACTATGTAAGCAGTTAAACATAAGGAATCACACATCCCCGGACCATTCGATTTGATGCAACGACATCAGTGTCAAAAAACTTACTACATTAACCACTTGCTCTTCTTCAGGTAAATCTTCAGCAAAAACAGGACCCTTCTCGGGGGCCTTCACAATCTCATCTGCAGTTCCCATCATCATCAGCCTTTGACCCTGGAAATAATAAATAACAGATGCTTCTAGATAACTGGCACTTCATTGCATAAAAATAGAGAGTAATTCAATGAGTAGCCGCGTACCTCTTTTACTCCTACTTTCGACCAGTCGGCATCGTCCTAAACAACCATGGAAATAACCGAAGAGTTAACAACAAAATTAACAAGCAAAGCATCAGATGCTGAGAATTTCAGCGTTCCTCATAACACAAATAAGTTTTGTGCTGCATTTGCAAAGTGAAAAATGGCATAACAAGCTAAGAGAAACGAAATTTTATACCTTAAGCAAACCACCTTTGACCATTATCTTTTGCCTTTCAGGTGGTACCCCTGTTAGATCATACAGCTGGGCTTTGAAAACATATGGAGGCTGGCTAGTGTCAATTTCCACAGCAGGATAGACTTCTTTTTGCCACTTTACACTTACTGCAACCAATCACCAGATTTGCAAGGAGAGAATTATAGCCCGTAATTGTCCAAGTGCAAAAATAAACAGGAGGTACAATCAAAAGAAAATGATAAAAGGGGTATCCTAGTGGGAGGAAAACTGTTTCTACCATTGAGTTGCTTGTGTAACCCAAATCAACATCAACATCATAGCCGAATGGTGCTATCTGAACGAACCACCATGATGACTTAACAAAACAAATACCAAACTATTACAGTGATGATGCATAAATGAAACACCAATGGTATTTCTCGAACATACATCAAGTAATGTATCTATAATGATTAAAAAATCTGCTCCTAGAGAAAAAGATAAATGATGTTTGAACTTAATTCACCATCAAACGCTCCCCCCTCCCCCAAATTTAATCCAGTTGTCAACTATTTCGTGGAAGTTGAAGATGTTCGGATAAGTTCATAGTGAGTAAAAGAGAGTTCGTTTGAAAAGACTATTTGAAAAAACACTCTCAAACCACAACTTCAAAATATAGTTCTTGCCAAAAACGTTTTTACCAAAGGAAAAAAAAATCGAAAAACTTAAACAATCACCAACTTGAAAAAAATTCTAGTAGGTATATTTATTTATTTATTTTGATAAGTAAAACATTCTAACAGGTTTATTCTAACCCTAACAAAAAAGATATTGTGAAAACCAAGTCCAGCTGCTCCTGTATAAGCTTCACCATAATCTCCAATAGGTCTTCTTACTTAAGACTATCAATCAATCAATCAACTACACCTCAATAGATCCTCTGTACCGTCCACAATATTCAGGTTCGTTTCATTCCAATACTAAATAATCCGAGCTTCTAAGAAAAATTAGGATCTGTTAAACTAGAAGCTTATAGGGAACGATTACGAGGTTCTCCAATACTTGAAATCGAAGCATGAACATAAAATAAATCTATGTGTCGGAAAGTCGATACCTAAGTGTGAATTTTCAAATCAATGTGGCATTATAGTTCAAATTTAGAGTATACTAAATCTGACACGACGAAAGTTATGGCGGAAGTTCAGACCTGTAACCATGGTTATGGAAGCTTCGGCGTTGGCAGGATCGGGACTGGGGAAGAGGTTTCTCTCTCGTTACTCTGTTTAGAATTTGGGTGCTGTTTGCTTGTAGAGAAGGGCAAATGCCACCGATGAGTTATTTATACTCTTATATTCCAAGATATTATCTTAGTGCGGTAAATTATGTAATGTATAATATGTATGTATCAATCTATCTATCTATATCTATCTATATCTAAATCTATATATCTATATCTATAGTTCCTTAGCGAAATATTATTGGGAAACTTACACAAATATCCCAAATAAATCTCAACTTACCAACCTCTAGTCATTAGTCATAGACTTACCAAAACTAGCCAACAAAAATTGAAAAACCAAATAATAGGATTTTTTCTCTCAAAGAATCACATGCAAAAATTACCTTTCATATTTTTAAAAGTGATTAGCAACATTAGATACAAGACGGAAAGGAAATTTCATGGACGGGTTAGCAAATAAGGTGATGAAATACAAAAATCTATACAATATTCCAAAAATTTAAACAAAAAAGGAACTTTTTCAATGGGTATAATTGAAATTCATTGAAAATATATAGATAAGTCAATATACAAAATTTGAGGAAGATTGGAGGTGATTTGGACTGGTTTTGTATCAAAATTCGTAATTAAATCGAGTTCAAAAAAGTCTTCTGCGACACATGTATCAAACATGTATCACGCATGTATCACACACACTTGATACACAATTGATGCAAATATGATACATATGTGATACATAAATGATACACATATCATTTTTTTCATGTTCAGCTTTTACTTCGAATTTTCAATTCAAATCACCTCAAAACTTCACCAAATCATCCCGAAACTGAGATTCAAGCTCCTTAAGTTGTGCCCAATCTATTCTAATAACACCCACTCAAAACAAAGCAAAAATTTGATATTTTTTGCTACAAATAGCTAATTGGCTAATTTGGCTAATATTAGTAATATTTTATCAATTGGCCAATTTTTGTAATGAGCTACTTATAAATGGACATAGTAGGTAATTTTTCAATTCGCCTTTTTTATTATTTAAAAATAAATTTTACAATGGGCAAATTAGTACATTAAGTTATTCTCCTAATATTTTAGGACTTTAAAAATTAAGTCTTTCCTTATTAAATTAAATAAGAAGTCCTAATATTTAGGATTTTAAAATCAAGAATCACTTTCTTATTTTTGATTTTGAAATCAACTAACGAATGAATTATTAAAGTTTATAAAAGATCCAGAAAACTCAATGTCATACTAATTCGAGTCCGTACAATTTGTATCATATTTTGATACATAAATAAAGTATATTAAAAGATTAGCAGATACTGTTAGGTAAAGTATCGATTATAGTTATGTTACATACTTATAACATAGTTTTAATAAGATAAAATCTTAATCAGTTTAAATAAAAAAGATTCAATAACCAGAATATTAATTGAATTTAAAGTCCTAAATGCTAGAAAAATAATAAAATTATAATTTTATTCAATGTGAAATTTATTTATAAAAGTAAAATTGATCAATTTGTCGACCATAATGCGTTCTATGTTAATTTTTCTAATATATTAGGATTTTAAGATCAACTAAAAAGTTATTTTATTAGACCCTTGCATATTTGTGTAGGTAGGAAGTCTCTAAAATCAATTAAAATTTCAATTATCCTATCTAAATTATTTCATTATTTGAACAGTGTGACATAATTTTGTATGTGTGTGTGAATGTATATATTACATTTACATATTATTTTGAATTAGTTTCCTAATCAAGCAATATTTCAAAACACTAATTATTCTGCATATACAAAGATTTAGAATGAGCTAATATAAATTTAAATTATTTTATTTCAATGTTGAGAACAAATAATTAGGTTTTTAAATTAAGTAATTAAGAAAAAGAATCTAATTTTTTAAATCTAACATATAAGTAAAATTATTTGTTAAGGAGACAAAATCTTAAGGTACATAAATTTATTAAGACAAGTTTTGACGATGAAAGAAATCAGAGAATAAAACAAATTGGCCAACAGTAAGAGTATAGTATAAAGAGTCAAAGTGATAAAAATATAAATTTAAATTATAAGGATGAAAGACTAGAAGGCAAAATTTATCATAAATGAATTGTCAATTTTCTCTTTTTTGCATCAGTCCAACAAAATGGCAACGTCCCACTGTATTCTTTTTTATATTAAGTTATTTGCTATAAAATATTCACTCAATATTGACATTTTTTAGATTTGTATTGTCATTATTAAATTTTCAGGAGGTATAGGGCTCTCATTTTCATACCCAAATCTCTAAAAGATCAAAGGGTTCAATTTTTAATTTGTATTATTTGACAAATCGTTGACGAATCATGAAAAAACTATTTTTTATTTTATTTTAAGTGTTAGGCCACAGAAATAAATTTCATAAAAAATTCCAAATAAGTGTTCATAAATCACAACAAGTCATCTGAATTCTCAGGAATATGATTTCTTTATTTATAGAACTTACTAAATATTACCAATATTCATTATTTTCATGAATTTCTTTAATTTTGTTATATAATTTATAATAACTCAATTACAGTGTCTAATAACATTTGCGTATTTGTAAAAGTTGTGTACTCACTGAAATGGGTACACGCGAAAGCGCGTACACTAAAACTAGTATTATATTAAAAATGGAAGCCCTTAAGTCAAAAGTAAATTACCAAAATATCCCTTTAAATAATTTAAATATCTTACATATAAAAAATTGCACGAAAATGCTAAATTACTTGAAAAGGTGTGATCCTTTGTATTAATATCTAATGTTCGGACTGATTCTTGTTGAGAGAAGTAGCTCTCATTTATTTAACTAAACTACAATTAGTAGAGTAGTTAGGCATATACTTTACCATTGTAAGTAGTTAGATTAGTTACAATTAGTAGAGTGTATAAATGGTATCCTAGTCTAAGCTCAATGTAACAGTACACATATTTTTCTCAGCAGAATGAAGTAACCGTCTGCTTCTGCTTCTCCTTTCTTCTTCTTCCTCTCACATCTCTGATTCAATAACCGCCATAGCTGAGCTTCTTCACATGGTATCAGAGCCCGGTTAAACGAGTGTTAGCTCGGCTGTGACGAATCTAATTGAGTCAATTTCCTAAGTAGATCTGATCAATTGAGCTAATTCTCAATCTGGATCTCTTTCCTCGCAAGCTAATGGTTCGAGATTTGTTCGATTGAGCCTCAATTGACAGTCAATTGCTGCATTATTGTTCAATCTTATATTTTGTAGGATATTTTCCTTCAAATGTCTGCAACAATGCCGACCACTGAAGAAACTGCTCATAATCAGACCATCACAAATCTAGTAGATCAAGTTGATCATCATCATCCTTTATATATTCATCCATCTGATACACAAGGTTCAGTTCTCATCTCTATTCAGTTACAAGGTTCTGAGAATTACTCTGTTTGGAGTAGATCGTTGAAAATAATGTTGCATGGTAAAAACAAATTAGGTTTTGTCTTAGGCACCTGCAAAAAGAGTAACTATGATATTAGCCTTCATGATCTGTGGGATATGTGTAATGCGATAGTGTTGGCTTGGATTATGAATACTGTAGCACCAAATTTGATTAGCACTTTCATCTATGCCTCTGATGCTTATACTGTTTGGGAGGATCTAACGGAACGATTTGACAAAGTAAACGCATCTAGAGCTGCTTATCTACATAAGGAAATTGCTACTTTGACACAAGGAGTGTCCTCTGTGTCTGTATATTTCTCTCGTTTGAGAGAACTGTGGGATGAGTATGAAACACTTACTCCACCACCCTCTTGTGGTTGTCCTGAATCGAAGAAACATGTAGAACACTATCAGCTTCAAAAGCTTTATCGGTTTCTGACAGGTCTAAATGATTCCTATGAGAATGCAAAAAATCAAGTGCTTATGACTAGGCCTTTACCAAATCTGAACCAAGCTTATGCCATGATAATCAATGTAGAAAGTCAAAGGATTAGTGGAAAAGGTGTGAATAGCGCTAATGATAACAATGAAGCTACTGCAATGATGAGTAATAGAGCTCATAATGGTGGTCATAATGGAGGATATAATAATGCTGGAGGCTACACCAACACAAACTACTCTGGAGGTTACAAACCTAAGGATTTTTCCAACAAGCCAACAGTTCAATGTGACTATTGTAAATGTAAAGGTCATACAAAGGAAAACTGTTTCAAACTTCATGGATATCCTAGTGAATTCAAGAATAAGAGAAGAGGAGGATCTTTCAATTCTCAGGCAAACAATATGAACAGCAATCTGAATCACATGGAGAATAGTTACAGAAATCTGCCTTCATGGACACAAGGCACTCAATTCAACTGTCCTGCTCCTGCTCAGTTCTTCACTCCAGAACAATATCAGCAAATTCTACAGATGCTGAACAAGGACAAAGAGATTGAACCTGTAGCCAACTCAGCTACTGCAGGGACAACAGGTATACTGCATGCCTTTATGTCTACCTTGGTGAATCATAATTGGATAGTAGACACAGGAGCTTCTAATCACATGGTGCATAGTTTGAATCTGGTGGACTCTTATGAAGAAGTATCAGAGAAGGATAAAAATAAAGTTCAATTGCCTACTGGAGAACAGGCTTCTATTACACACACTGGAATCTGTTCTTTCTTCAGAAATAAGAAAATTCAGAATATACTTCACATTCCAGATTTCAAGTATAACTTACTTTCAGTGTCTAAGATCACAAAAGAGCTAAGGTGTTTAGAGTGTTTGGCAGCTTATGCTATGCCAAAAAAATGCAGAAAGTGGATAAGTTTAGTCCCAGGGCAGTTCCAGCAGTTCATATGGGATACTCAACTTCTCAAAAGGGATATATTCTCTATGATTTACATTCCAAAGGTTTCTTTGTGAGTAGAGATGTTGTTTTCAAAGAAGACATATTTCCCTTTAAACATATGCAACTTGGAAATTCTCCCTTATTTCCTATACTAGAGTTCACAGATGCCTCACTTGAAAAGAGTACCAGTCCTCCTACAAATTTACCTATTTCTACTATCCACCTTCAGTCTTCCTCTTCCAGTCCTATCTATGCTGACATTTCTGA